ATTTAGGCTTATTTGCTACAAAAATGTGTAACAGCTGTAAGAGCTGGTGACATATATTTAGTAACAGCCATATGCATAACACTTTAACTTATATTAAATGAAAAGTGTTACATGTGATTTATTAGCATTAGTCACCTGCGATGCTGTCTCACTTGTGGAGTTCAAAGTTTTTGTCTATCCATAGTGCCATAAGACCAATCAAGTTAACGGGGCTAACACTTGACGTCCAAATGTCTGTGGTAAAACTCACCCAAGTGCTATCGGCTATTAGCTTCTCAATGATGTCGGAAATGACGGCTTATAACTCAGGTAAGGCTACGTCGGAAAAATATCTGACTGGGGACGATGTAGCGAGGCTCAGTGTGGTCCAAAAATCGTTGGTATCTGATATCCTCAACAACAACAAAAACCTTCCATACCACCGACATTTTGACTTCTTCCTCTCCACCATGATCAGATCAGGTAGGCACACATGACGTCATCACGTTGTGCTGGCACTGCACTTGTCACTGGGTTGTCATACAAAAACAGCGTCTTTTATATCGGTGAGTTATTTTGATGGAATGGCCGATATCCAATATTTAACTTTAACGCTAATATCGACCAACACCGATGCCATGCCGATAATATCGTGTATCCCTAGTTATAAGATTACAGAGTAGGAGGTATTTAAAGTGTTTTAAATTATGGCATTTTACTCAATATACAAGTTTATATTAAAATCTAATCAAGTTTTCTGAATGAGGTAAAAAAAAAAAGAAAGTGTTTAATCACCCAACACAAATTTGTTGTTTTAAATCCTAAAGAGGGTTAGAATTAGCCTTTGCAGCTGGGACAGTTTCTTCTCTTACCGTGTTGTAGCCTGTGGGTTCTTGGCCGTCTGTTATAAGTTCCCGCTCTCCTCTCGGGTTCACCCTCCTAAACCGCCGTCTAGACCGCCGTTGAGACTCCTCTCTCTGCAGGAAATTGTTGTCGCCCTCGCTGCTGTTATCCACCTGCAATACACAGTCGACACTGTCCTCAGAACGGAAGGTTCTACAAGAACCATCAGGTGCGTCCGGACAGCTGAACAACCGATCCGCACGGTTTGAGACTTGAGTCAACGGTTCAGAGCAGCTGCGTTTTAGTAGTTCGGACTTAGGCACAACATTTGTAAATTCCAGATTCTGTTTGTCATTCTCTGATTTCTGCCTCCGATAATCCAAGTTTTGTGTCTTAAGTCCTACAGGACTCTGATGATCTGAGCTGCAATCCTTGAATGTGATTCCCTCCGTTTCAGGCGGTTCGTCTTCATGCGCCGGAGCGTCTGGGTTTTGGCCCTGCTCTTCTGCTGGCTCCTGGTTGAAGATCCAGCTCTTCCAGAGCGCAGAGAGCCGGTGCCAGCGTAGCACACTCATCCGGACTCAAGGACAGATTAAAAAAGCACATAAAAGCAGGAAATACCACGAGGGAGGGTGAGTGTAAATGTATAAAAATCTAAATAAATCCTTCTAAACAAAAGATGAAGTTAAGTCCAAAAGTTTACAACAAAGTCCAACATCCCTGGAGATCCCATTCTCTGGGAACGTTATTGAAAAATAAAAAAAATAAAAAAGATGATGAGAATCCACTTTTAAAAACAGAGTCCAATTGAATAAAAACTAAAGTGCTTTGTCCGTTTGGCCACAAATTTCAGAGCGAAGAGATCAAGGCAGAGTTCAGCTGCTCAACACGTTGCGTACTGAGGCTCACACACACGCTCGCTAGTTGTCGTCGTCTGACACATGCACAGAGCAACACTCAGCCCACAGTTTCCTCCAGGAAGCCGTAAATACACAAATATCCTCAGCAGGCAGAAAAAAAAAAAAAAGAGCACAACACAGATTCTGGCCGTACAATCCATTCCCTGCAGACTTCTTAGTCTGGTCAGTTGTTGAAGGAAGAATTTGTTTTCTGTCTATATTACATAATGCGGAGTCAGTAGCTCCATTATGTTAGCGATGACCGATTTGATAATTAAAAAAAAAAAGACAAACTAAACTCTTTTACTTGGATTTTTCACAACAGATAGTTTGTGTTTGCTTGTTTGCCCATTGTTTACTTTTACTTACTTAATTCTGTTTTTAATTTAGCTTGTTTTGTGGTATTTCAAAAGAACTGTCCGTGATGCATCATTGTCAAACTCAGCATAAACAAGTAACAAGACTTCCATGTGGAAGCATGTTTTACTTCCAGGCATTGTATAATTTACTGAATCTGACCGTTTTAAATTGTATTGTAATTGCATAGAACTGAAATTGTTTTTTTTGGGGGTTTTTTTGTTTTTTTAATCTAGCATTGGATGACAATTTGTTTTCATTTAGGTTGTGATTTAAAAGAAACTAAATGAATTTGACAGCATGTAACTGGATTTGACTTGGAGCAGTTTATTTGTAACGTGTCCTGCAAATTAACATTAAGTTAATAATGCAGCTCGACTGCCAACACCTTACATACAACTGATAGCCAAAAGAACCATAAATAATGTCAACACTAACCCGGTTTGGAGTAAAAAAAAAAAAATCTTGCAAGACATTTATTATTAATTTATTACTCAACATATATGGTCAGTGCCATGTTTTGCCCATTCACTCAAATTGTAGCTACTTTAGGTGCTATAAAAGCTTCATTCATCAGCTTTATTGTATTGTCAGAACAGAGATATAGACAAATGTCCATTCAAAACATCCAAAAGTTGGGTACAATCATGTTTTAGAACAACAAAAAAGGTTAAATCGTGTCATCTGGACCAGTTTCTTTGTGAGAAACGTTTCATCCTCCATTCAGAGGACTTCCAGATGGTAGCCTTCACTGCTATGTTTCAAGCCAACCTGCTGTTGGAATCTCAAAAGTACTACTACTTTTGTTTTACCTATGGGACTACTACTACTACTACTACTACTAATCTACTCTACTTCCTCAGGCGGCTGAGGCGAGCTGGTCTGGGAAGCTCAGTCCTCACCTCCTTCTACAGGTGTGCAGTGAAGAGCATCCTGTGCTCCAGCATCAACGTGTGGCATGGAGGCTGCACAGCTGCAGAAAGAAAAGCTTTGAAGAGAGTGGTGAAGGCTGCACAGAAGTCTGTTGGAGTCAGTCTCCCCACCATCACAGACATCTACACCTCCAGATGCAGGAAGAGGGCCACCTGCATCATGAAGGACCCCACTCACCCAGCACACACTTTTTGCCCCGCTCCCCTCAGGAAGGAGGTTGAGGAGCATTAAGTGTAGAACCACTAGACTGAGGAACAGCTTCTACCCTGAAGCTGTTAGACTCATGGATATGTAATCAGGATATTCACTGTAAAAAAAAAATCACATGTTGCTGCTGATCTGTTTCATGTTGCTGCGTTCATTCATGCTCATCTACTCACAGAGACTCATGTTCGTGCTGCTGTTCGACGTATTGTTTTTTTGCTATTAGTGCTAAGAGTATTTTTAGTTGATGTTTTTCTTAGTTCATATCTTGGATCTTATTACTGTTTTTCTTTTACATTTTATTGTTGGATGTAACTGGGATCCTGTGTACATAATTTCGTCCCATCACTTGTACCATATGTGGTGTGAATGACAATAAAGAAACTCTGACTCTGACAGATCTGGTTGGCAGGTCGCAGACTGAATAAGTCCTCTGGATGGGGACAACATGTTTCCCACTTAAAGAAACTGGTCCAGATGACACAATTTAACCTTTTTTGTTGTTATCTACCTGGATGACTGAGCTTACTTTAATCAAGTTTTAGGTTTTACCCAGTACCTTATTTCTAATGGATTGAACTTGAGTGTGATGGCAGAAAAGTTTATGCTACAAAGTGAGCCAGAGTCCCAGCAGGCGCACCTGTGCTTCTAAACAAGCAACTAAAGGAAAATAAAATAAAATCCTGCCTCAACATCCCATTAACATTTCATTGATAGTGAAAAGTGCTCCAGCTGGTGTTTAGTCTCATCCCTGACCTTCATCTTTGCCTTTGTGCAGAAAACTGATTGGACTATTCGTCTTTAAAAGTTCACCTGTTTCTGACGTATTCATTTTTTTCAAGCAAAGACATTTTTAACTTTTTTGATTGTCTGAGACATCAAAAGAAAATCTAAACTATCTGTAGATTTTGAAAATGTCTTGAGTTTAATTTGTTGCTCCCCCATATTTCTGGCTTCTGTTTTACCTTTAATCATTCAATAACTGATTCGATACTTCTTGTTTCCCCTTCATTAATTTTTTTCACTTATTCAGTTATGTTTGCAACTTATTTATGCACATTGACCATAATCATTTTTGTCTAAAAGAAAGCTTTATATATTATTTATAGAAAATATATCTTAATAATCTTAAATATTTCCCAACTTCTTTGATTTCCCCTCTTAAGATAACAATTGGGGGAAAAAGCTTCATATGGGAGATAAAGATTTTGTCACAGTGATTTTACACCATAAAAAGGGTCTTTGTTAGTACGCGTGGTGTATTCTTTCCTCAGGTCAGTCATGTGCATTCATCCACAGACGTCTTATTTATAAAAAACTCATGACGGGCCACAATAAGCAGTACTAATGACTACTGTGTTTGTGCTCACGGAAATGTAGAAGGCAGTATTCAAAGACGTAAGACAAAGTTTTCAGTATTTTGATAATGGTCATAAGTAGATCAATACAAGTAGAAAGAATAAAACCATAGTTCAGTTTCTTAAAGATAAGCATCACAAGTCAGTTCAACTCGTGACAGACTTGCCAATCGATAAGAGAAAAGCCTTAAAAAAAAAAAAAAAAAAAAAAAAAATTATCTATCACGATTTTCTGTCACTGTTAAAATGGGAAACAACAAAAACAATCATGGTTAAGAGAGTTGTGCTAGAATACACACTAACTACACTGTGAGTAATTTAAGGGAAACACTCTTTGAAACGACTGGATGAAGACCATTTCTATAAAAACTGTAAATAACTGTAAAGGGGAGAGTACTGGGATAGATGCGTCTCCTCTCACAGCCAAAGAAATGTCATTTTGTTTTAATGGGCCTCATGAGATAGACAGCCTGAAGGTAGAAGAAAAGAAATTCTGGAAGTGAAGGTTAGAAAAATGTCACAGTTTTATTGGTTTGTCTCACCATAAAATCATATTTCACAACTCAACTATATAAGCACGATTTATTCAAACACAGCAAGCTAATGCTGTATGACCAAATTTCCTAATTGCATAAAAGAGCGTGTGAAGAACGTCACGTCGACTCATGAGTCAGTTTACATTCCTCTCTATCTGATGGTTGTCTAGTCAGTATGCATTGTGCTTATTTAAACTTTCATAATTCCTGTCCTTAGTTGATTTCCCTCCGTTCCCAACCCCCGCACACAGGAACAACCCAGCCCTGTGAATGTCGCTCCAGTCCGTCCCGTGACCAGAGTCATGATGGCAGCTACAGATCACATTCCCTCAACTATTCCCATGGCCCCAATTAGCTGATTGGCTGCAGTACAGCATTACCAGACCGCAGTCCCCCTGCTCTGTGTGTCTGTGCACTCATCTAGAACTGTGTGGGTGCAGGCATGTTTGTGTCTACTTATGTTACTGAGATCAGCTTTTCTTTGTAATTCCTTATAATTTCTCTTAACAGGTATAACTGATGATCAGTATACACCACTAGTGTGTTTCTTGCACAAGTATGCACAGAGATTAACCATTGTACCCAGTCTTTTTTAAATTATTATTTGTTTGTTGTTCTTAAATGTAGTTAAAACACTTGCCCAGTGATGGTCATAGCATAAATCCTTCATATGATTTCAAAGCGCAATCACAAGTGCTTGTAATCTTCAGGATTATTTTACTGTAGTGTCCAATAAAGCTTTGCTAGGAGATACACAAGGGAAAGAAAATAGTTTGTGTGTAGGTTGAACAGTTAAGAAACAAGAGTACCGAATATGGCATTTTTTTACGCCTGTCGACAAACTATTATACAGCAATACAACAATCTATTGCAATGGCTTGGATAA